GGTGAGTTACAACCAAAAAGTTGATCCTTCCCTTTGGAAGAAGGGAAGCCAAGAAAGACTCCATAGAGAACCTGACGGCTGACCTGAGTCTTACAATATGAATAGGCACTTGCCAGCCAAGACAGTGCCAGGATGACCAGGCAATCAAGAAGTGTGAAAAGAGGCATAAGACAATACGATTCATTTATTCATTCAACAAATGTTTATCAAATGCCTCCTATGCTTGGCATAGTTTTAAGTACCAGGATACAGCAGTAAATGATATTGACAAGGCTTTTGCTTTCACTGAGTTAAAATTTTAATAGAGGAGACTAACAATAAGCCAGTAAACAAATATATAAAGCAAAGGACTATGAAGAAAGCACAGTGGGTAAGATGGCTAGAGTGAGACTGGGGGGTAGTATGCCCGACTAGAGTGTAGAGAGTGAAAGATGTGAGCAGCGCTACCCCCAGTTTCCATGCAGAGGACTTTCCCTAAACTCTCCTAGCCTTTTATTCCATCCTCTTTTCCCCCCCAAGGATGTAGCGTGCGCTACCTGGCTGGGGGTTAAAGCCAGCGTGTGGTCCATGCCTGCCCTTTGGTAATGTTAACTTCGCTAGACACAGCTACCCTGCCACTAGGTACAGTAAGAATGTTGAGTTCAGGGGTGATGGAGGGGGTAGATTTTGGTGTCCTTCTCCTTCCTCTTCACACAGAGAGTGACTCACATGAGGACTTGAACTTCCCTGCAGGTGGGCTGTTCCTAGGCCCAGACTGGGGAATAGAGCGGTGGAAGCCCACTTTTGGTTCTCAACCCCAGATATAATTTCTAATTCAATTAACTGTTATCAGTCAAAAAGCTGCATCTTGGCCTCCACCTTCCTTATTACACTTGTCTTACTTCTCAGTTGGCTTAGAACTTGGGAAGGGAGGAGACCTCTTAATATAAAAGTTGTTATACAGTAAAAGCCTTCCCTTTCCCAACAGACACCTCAAAACTAAATTAGGAAGCACCATCCTAATCTATCAAACCTATCACCTTAATAAAAAATCCTTCAAATCTCCTACTTCATAGCTCCAAGGACACTGCAAGGTGTGTGACTGAAAAGTCTGGCCCAAATCGTGTAATACGGCACCTTCGATGGAGTAGTGAATATGGGGGTGGGGTGGGAAAAACAATGATTTCAGCGCCAGTGTAAAGCTCTAGGCTACACAGTTCATGGCTGGTAGCCACAAAGAGGAAGATGAGGAAATGTGAAGTCTTTAGATATTCTTACTTTGTGATTTCATATCTACATGTTTTTTAAAACCACACGAGAAAAAAGAATGTTCTTATCTTTTCTCTGAAGAATGTAAAAGCATTTTCAATGTATTTACATACTTTCTTCACAACCTCCTTGTGAGACAAGATGGGACTATATCATTGTCATGAAGACATATGGATGGCATGGTTACTATCTACAGCAGGGGTGGGGAGTGTCCGGCCTGCGGGCCACATATGGCCTCAGCAATCATTCGGCCCAGTCCTGCCAAGGCATTAGAGGTGAGTTAATTAAAGGTTTGAGCAAAATTAGCAGGCTAGACTGCTTTTTAAGTTGATAATTCTATATGGCCGGCGAATTATGTTATAAATATTCAAATGGCCCTTGGCAGGAAAAAAAGCCCCCCACCCCTGATCTGTGGGGCTCAGTTCTGAGCAGTAGAGAATTTATTTTAAGATGAAGAATAAGATAGATAGTTCCTCACCTTGAAGGCCTTACCCTCTACCTAGAAAGATTGCCCAGGCTCCCAAAGCATTATGCATCAAAAAGGAAATCTAAAATAAGTGTCAAATAGATGGCAAAGATTTTAAAAATCCTTCAGGAGTTCAGGAGGGAAAGGCATCTATTGAAATCAAGAGTGATTACAATAGTTTCATGTGAGAAAAATGTTCAAACCCCAACTACACACACTGTAGCAACTGCAATTAGAAAGTGCACCTCAGGCCAAAGATCCAGAAGGTATCAGAACAATACAGTGTGTGCTGTATTTCTCTGTGCAGCCCTGTGGTGCCGGTACTGCCTTGGGCCAGATCAGTGGCCCTGCATCTGGGTAGCACATTTAATGGGTACTCTGCTTCCCTGGATTTCACTCTGCTCTGGATCACTGCCCACATTCAGCCAGGAGCAGCGACCCACTGGGCAGGAGATGCTGAACCCCCTGTGCCCTGCGCACAGAGCTGCTCTGCCAGAGGGATGATGCAAAGCAGACTCTCCACCTACTTTCGTTCGCTAAGGCAGGGAGGTTCTGCCAGCTCCACTGGCCCCTCAGGGGCCTGCAGAATTTTACTACGGACATTGCCTTCTCCCGTATCAAGTCCTGACTCAGGTCGGGAAAGGGGGCAAGGGTTAATAGCAGGGACAGAGAGTAACAATTACCAAGTCTACTTGCTCTGCAGGAGGAAAGGCAGGCCAGGACTGGGGGAAGTCAAAGGGGGCGTCGGGGCTGTGGTCGTCCTGCCCAGGGTACATTGGCTGCCCCTGTCATTGTATTGTTTCTGGCTGCACAGACATGTTGCTATGGAACCAATACATGTCACTGCTACTTGGCCTCCAGCAAACAAAACCTCAGCACTGGCAAGAGCATTTCCCTAGATTTCCCTTAAAGGGATACCACTAACAGTGAGTGCAGTCCACGCCTGGGAACAACAGTGGTATTGTTCCAGGTCCTGCCCTGCTGCATACCGTGAAAGGGAGCCCGGCAACTCCTGTTTTACAAGGTCTACATGCATGTGGCATGTGGATATACACGGTCCAAACCCAAGGTGTGGGGGCCAGCCTCGGGGCTGCTTTTAAACGAAGAAACTCATGACCTTGGTTTATATTTAGTCTCCCCCGCATCCCCTCACCCCATACACACACACAACTGGTAGAAGCAAAGAACTTGGGTAATAATTTGATAACAGCCACAAGTGGTCTAATTCTATCCCTTTCCCACTGCTTACCTGAGACCCTCTGCTCCCAGTTTATTCCTCACAGAAAGCTTGGGACCAGGAGGCATGGACTCCGCATGTGCCCACTTTCCTAAGGTCCTTAATTGTCCTCTATTTTAGTCTTATCAACCTCTGGATGCCATAGAGACCCTTAGCTTCCCCAAAGAGCAGCAGATCTCCACATCCCACGTCCCACTGTGCTGTGCTCTAGGGATGCACCGTTTGGCTTTTCTTGGATATGAGGAGGAAATGGGAGCCCTTAAGTTCACACTTCTAATGAATGCACATTCATGCGTATCAAGCATCTGGGACAGGAAAGGTCAATAGTAGAGGCATAGGCAGAGGCTCCCTCAGTGAATCTGCAACCCCCATTCTCACTCCCACCAGGACATTGACAGGAAGCAGACTCTCTGGGTACTCTGATAAGAAGACACTTCAAGTTCCTTAAAAATGACTGTGGTTAGGGCAGAAGAGAAGTCCCCATTTATTAAGGTAAAATGATTAAGGTGACAAGTGGAATAAAATAATGGACACAAGCTCTCTGTGCTACACTTAAACCAATCCCTAGGTGAGATGAAATGTTTGGGAAATACGTGCTCTAGCTCTGTAACTTAAGTGACCACAGACTAGAGCCAGATGCGGCCTAGGCATCCACGAAAATACCACAGGCAAGTCCCCCTTGTGGGCCTCCAGCGAGGAACTGTTTTCTCACCCTTCTCTCCATCATGCCCCACAACTGAATTCTCATGTTAGAAACCATATAGCTTTTATTTATTATTTTTTAATGAAGAAAGGTGACTCTGAAAGTCTCTCAGACCGCAGGCCAAGTTTACATTGTGCTATATGAAACCTGCTAAGCATTACTCTGCAGGTGCAGATGCCCGGACGGGGGCGTGCAGGTCTGCAGCTGGCCGGCACACACCTGCACCGCAGCTCTGGACTGCAGCACAGATTTAGCCCGCGTCCGCACCGGAAGTGCTATTGCAAATGCACTTTAGGAAAGGCGCAAAGGAAAACATGCCCTCTTGGCTGAGGTCCATCACAGAAGTGCCCCGGGTTTGCCCTGTCCACCCACCTCTCTTGGTAGCAGCCAACAGTGACTTCTAGGAAGTTAAACAGCTAAACAGCATCGCTCCTGACACTTGCCTTAGAGCAGTGGTTCTCAACCTTCCTAATGCCGCGACCCTTTAATACAGTTCCTCATGTTGTGGTGACCCCAACCATAAAATTATTTTCGTTGCTACTTCATAACTGTAAGTTTGCTACTGTTAGGAATCGTAATGTAAATATCTGATATGCAGGATGTATTTTCATTGTTACAAATTGAACGTACTTAAAGCATAGTGATTAATCACAAAAACAATATGTAATTATATATGTGTTTTCCGATGGTCTCAGGTGACCCCTGTGAAAGGGTCGTTCGAACCCCAAAGGGGTCGCGACCCACAGGTTGAGAAACCACTGCCTTAGAGGGATGTTATCACTAGTTTATCGGCATTACTTCAGGTCCAACAAGCTATAATCTGTGTCCACAGAAGGAATTGGGATTTTTAAAACAGTTCTGGGGGGGGGGGGGGGGGGGGGGGCGGAGATAGGGAGACCTCACAGAGGGGAGTCAAATGCCTCAGCAGCCGTCTGTACGCACATGAGCTCTAAGGTCCCATCCAGTGCTCTCTCTTTCAGGGCGTTCATGAAACAGGGCATCATGTGAACAAAACAGATAGTTTCTCCTTGCCCAGGGCCCATTTCTGTGATCAGTCACTGAAACAAGGAAACTTCCTCTGCTGTCTGCTCTGCAGCTGAAGGAGGCTAAAGCAACAATGGTAGCAACTCCTAAAAGGCAACCCACGTGGACAGCGAAAAAAAAGGCAGAAAAATACAAGAGGGAATCCTCCCTCTGGAGGGAGGAGGACATGGGATGAGTAGAAAGAACATTTGATTCCAAGCGGGGGAAACTTCTAGAGAATGTGTGCAGGCACTTTTTCTTAGAACTCTGGGTAACAGTCTGATGTGGGTGTACATATATAAAAGAGTCATAGACTCACTCACCGTAAGAAAACAGCAGATTGGATCCTCTGCCCCAGAAAATGAACTAATTTCTTTGGAAAACTGGAAGAGAAAAAGATTTAAACAACGTTAAGTCCATTCTGTAACTCAGCACAGGTGTGCAGGCATAGAGAGTGTGAGAAATCCCAGCTCTGGCATGTGGGCACTTAGTAGGTGCGCAGTAAATCTGAAAAACAGTGGATGCATAATGGTGTGGCTGACTACTTGAATTTTTTAAAAAGAGCTTTGAACAATTAATATGCAGAAAGCAATCATGTGTGTGATTCTGTGATCATGAGAAAGATGAACCTCATGATGAAGGATCATATACTGTGGTGCTTGAAAAATGAAGTTTTGAGTGGATATTTTTAAATGTCATGTCTGCACCCACACCACGCAGTTGATTGACAACTTCTCAATAAGTAAGCAGAGTACCCCATGCCTGCACTTTGCCCTTTCCCAAATGGCAGACCCGCAACTCCACACATCCCCCCACTGAAGTCAGTGACTCTACAGGGACCCATAATTGGGCTCAGATGGGAATGTGGACTTGGCAGAGGGCGCTGGGGGCTACATATCAGGCCAACTGTGTAATCCCGCGAGGAAGCCACGGTGTCTGAGATAAAGTGTGGGAAAGAGCCGAGATGAAGTGCATGTTGGAAGAGGAAGCCTGAAAGACAAAGGGAGATAAGGGAGTGACAGCAGCAGACTGTGTAATCTACATCACATAAGGGACTAAACTCAAGATCCAAGTTTTAAAACATTTCCAGAGACTGTTTTAAAGATGCCTTTGCAGGTTTAGGAGGGGACGTGAGGCAAAGCTAGTCTGGTTCCTGAGACTGGCCGGTTTCCACAGGATCCCAGAGCACTTGGGATTGAGAGCTATATGAAGGCCACTGCTTTTCCTCCCTTTCCCTAAAAGGAAGAGAGAGGCCTGGTCACTAGGGCGGGATGGAGAGTCTCCTCCTCCTCCTCCTCAGCACGCTCACGGGCAGCAGATCCTGACTCAGTGTTCCTCAGAACCTGAAAGGTGTTCCTCAGAGTCCCAGAGAGAAGTCACCAGCCATAATGTCAGACTGCGCTGGGAGAGGTGGGGCTACTGAGATGATGAGATTCAGCCTCGTGAGAAGTTTATACTCTAACTGAAAACACAATATGGAAGCAAGAGGAGCAGAGAAAGCTGGTACCTGCTGGTAAAATCTCTGAGCACCTTCTTTTTAAAGCCACAGTTTATAATCCACTCACACACAGTAACCTTTTCATTCTAACGACAGACGAGATGTCTACAGTAAGAACCATAAAGACCACAAGACTGATTTCAGAGTCAGACCTGACTCCGAATCGCAGTTCAGTCACATAACAGCTGTGAGATTCTAGTTCCGTAAACGCTCGGCCCCCTTCCCTCATTTGCATAATGGTAATACTAATACCCACTTCATATAATGTTTCAAGTTTCTAGTGCAGTGCTTGGCATGTAGAAGAGACTTAAAAAGAAAAAGCTTTTAATGCCAGGTGGCACAGCACGTCTACATATCTGAAATACTAGAGAAGGAAGACACAGGAGAGATTTTTATAACTCATAATGTACTAAAATGTCGGTCCTTGTATTCTCTCCCCCACCCCCCATTAGTTAAGACAAGTGAGAACAAAGTAAAACTGTTTACTGTGAACAATTACATCATACAGATAAGGGGAGAAACACCCAAATAATAGAAATCAGCAAAAGCCTCACTAATGATTACTATGACCATTTTGATTTATATGGTTCCAGGCTCTCTCCAATGCTCAAGCATACACAGTATATTAGACATATACTTAAATAAGTAAAATTTTATACATATGTACAATTCATTCATAATATACTATGATAGTATTTGTATTGTTTTACAATGTGAAAACATTTTATTTGGTATAGTATAAACATTTTACCAGGTATAGTATAAATCTCTTAATTTTAATACACCCATCTCCATCGTAATTTTTTAAGGACTTACAAGAGCATTACACTAAAAGAAGTAACCTCTAAATGTGTATTTGTTGAATTTACAGAATCTACCAGTGTCCCACATTTATGAGAAACTACTATACATGAGGTAGTGTGTGGTTCTTTTTTTCCCATATTTTCATCAAGATCATGAAAGGCAGATTGTATGAATGTAAGAGTTAACAACAAAGATTGTTTTGGTTTATAAATGGGAGTAGCTTAGAAGAATACTAACTAGCACAGGGAATAACATCACAAATAACAAGATCCAGTGACTTTCTAATATGTTGCAAGGGGACAAAATCCGAACGAGGAGGGCTAACAATGAATAGCGATGTCTATTTCAAGTAGGAAATCCCAAGAATGAAGTGAAGTAAGTGTCCCTGTTTCATTCTGATCATGACACAGAGAAAGTTACTGAAAACTATACATTCTTGAGTGGTCCTAAAAATCATAATCACATTATATGAACTTCAAAACCAAAAAACCAAGACAAACAAAACCCAAAAAACGAGAATTTACCATATTTAGAAGATACTAGGATTTGAAATGTTTCTGTAATTTCAGTATTTCTCATCCAATTTCCTTCGCAGAGAATGGCTGGTGTGGTGAACATATGTGATACAGTTTGCTTAAACTGCATGACACATCTTGTCCTCGATTGAGAAAACTGTGCTCTATCTACAAATGTGACCGGGAGGCTGGGGGAGTGAATGTATCCTCACAATCAGCGAAGAGTGCGAGCTAATTCCTCCTCCAGTTATGACTGTAACTAACCCTTTGTAAGTACTGCCAACACTGCTCCTTCAAGCAGGCAGGCAGGCAGGAGGTGGGGGGTGGGCAGGATGCAGGAGAGAAAGACAGACCGGACATACTGTGGCAGTAGAGAAATGCCAAACCAGACACCAGCCGGGAAATCCTGGAGAGGGCAAAAGTGGAGAAACAGCCCTAGCCAGTGTGGCTCAGTTGGTTGGACATCATCCATCCAGTGCACTCCATGTTATGCTGTCACATCAATGATTCTCTCCCTCTCCCTTCCTCTGTCTCTAGAAATCAATAAAGTATTCTTAAAAAAAACAAAACAACAGAAACAAAGTAGAGAAATATAGAGTTTGATTTCTGAAACCAGAATCTACAATGAATGAAGAGGTGAGATACCTATTTGCATGCTACCTCCCAAAACAAAAGTTCCCTAAAAGTTCATCCCCTGTCCGGTTTATGCAGTTTTAAGGGGAGGTGATAATTTTCGGTGAGGTTCATACTCTTAGACTTCTGTTCTACTTGACCACGTGAAATAGAATCAATATTGGTAGATAAGAACACAGACCTTAAATTTTAGCATTAGATGGAATCACAGAAAGCATTTCTTGGACAATCCATACTAGTGCCTTCACTTCACATGGCATATGGACTGAGCTACTCTTAATGGATCTTTTTGATTGTACAATTCAGGAGTCAGTAAAATGTCCCTCGATCTCACAACGCATTTTTAATAGGGACAGAGTTTTTGCTTTGCCTAACTCTCTCTTGGGTTGACTGCTTTCTCCGCTGTGCTATGTGCTATATAACATCTCTGTTATACAGTCAAAGCAAAACGATGCTCATTCTTCAATTTGCTTTCAGAGGAACCTTCATACCCTTTGATGGTATACATGGGATGGCCCAGAACACATTCTGCAAAGCAGACCTAGCTATTGAAACTGGGGTTTTGATCCTAACATCCTCACCAATTGTGCATCTCTGGTAAATATGACCTGGCCAGGAAAACTGTGCTGATGCCATATATTCCACACTTACAGTATAGTTTTGAACTACAGACTTGGGAAAATTTTGTCTTGCCATTGTATAGTGTCATCCTGAGTAAGCACAGAATTCCTTAATATTAATGACTACCATTTACTGAGTGGTTATTTTGTGCCAAGTTTTTATCTATTATCTGTAAGCCTCACAAAATCTCTGTAAAATAGGTTGCATTAGCCCCACTGTACAGATGACGAAAGCAAGGCTCAAGACAAGTAACCTAACCAAAGTCACATACCCAACAAGATAAAGCAAGAATTCAAAGCCAGGTTTATCGGGGTTTCATGGCCAGGAAGAAAGAAGCATCATGGTCACATGTGATTTTTATATGAAGGCCACAATCTACAGGATTCTGTCAAACACAAAAAATAAACACTTGCTTTTTCTCAATAATCAGATATTACTTTTTCAGGCTATTTTTCTCATAGCAAGAAAGGATGCTAGAAACAAAGTTATCTATGAAATTTGGTAGTAAGTTGTGCTTTAGCTGTCTAGACAGGCATTCTTCAGGCAGAAGGGCAGGACCAAAGTGCTGACAGTTGCAGCAACACAAAATGTAGCCTTGGCAAGTCAGTCTAACAATTACTTTGCATCATTCTGATTATGAGCCACAAGCATGCAATCAACAGCATAGAGACGATCTTAAATGATCTCCATCAGCATTTCACTTTAGTTATCAATGCTTGGCAGATGGAACACATTCTCATCTGACCTAAACGCAATGTTAATGACCCAAACACAAAGAACGTGCAGAAATAAGAGCAGCACAGAGAATGGCCTTGCTGGGGGCCACTGGACGCACTGTATTTCATCAACTTTTCCATTTATTACCTCAGCGCAAATAAATAATATCCATGTGTTTCTCATCTGATAAATTCATCCGTAGTCTAACTCAATGGAAAGATTAAGTAAGTTTACAGTTCCCCAGACTTAATACTGCATGCTGTGCAATTCTCTACAAGGAACAATTTTCATGTTTCATTACACATTTTTGTGGGTTGCATCTCCCCCACTAAATTGTGGCCCAGCTCCAACAGCATGAAAATTTTATCATTTACCTCTCTATTCCCAACACCTAGCCTAGTGTTTGGTGTATATAGTAGACATGCAAAATATGCAGAAATGAATGAACATGCTATCCAATGGAATATGCATGCTATCCAATGATAACAAAGAGCATCCTATCTAATAAAAGAGAAACATGGTAATTAGCATACGACCGCTACCCTTTCCATTGGCTAATCAGGGCAATATGCAAATTAACTGCCAGCCAAGATGG